AAATTCTATTAACTAATATTTATTAAATATTTTGTTAAACTCTTAATTTATTAATAAATAAATATTAATTATTAAATATTTTGTTAAGCCTCTAACATTGAGTGCCACACAAAGCGCACTAGCCAAATAGGTGGTAAGACAATAGGGGAACTCAGGCACCATACAGGTTATGTAGAAAGTAAACACAGTCATAAAGGACTCAAATATCTATACACCAATGCACAGAGTATGAATAGCAAACAGGGTGAACTAGAAATTCAGATTAATGAGGGCAGATATGATATTGTTGCCATTACAGAAACATGGTGGGATGAAACCCACACATGGAACACACAGCTAGAGGGATTTAAATTATTTAAAAGGAACAGACCAAATAAAAGAGGAAGTGGAGTTGCTCTCTATAAGAAATAACTACATCTCTACAGAAATAGAGCACAACAATGATACAAACTGTCTTGAATGCATTTGGGTCAATATAAAAGGGGAAAAAAATGACATTGCCATAGGTGTATACTACAGGCCACCCAACCAAACAGAGGAAATACCGTATATGCCGGCGTACAAGGCGATCCGGCGTATAAGACGACCCCTGTCTTTGTCGCTGAGCCGCATTCCTAGAACGTCGTCTTATACGCCGGAAACTACCAGTATTTCCGGCATATAAGACAACTCGACATATAAGACGACCCCCATCTTTGGCACTGATTTTAGTGCTTGCGGAAGTTGCCTTATACGCCGGCATATATGGTAGATGAACTTTTTGCTAGTCAGCTAACTAAGGTATGTAAGAAAGCACATCACAATAGTAACTACCCTGATATCAACTGGGAGACAAACTCTGCACCAAGTGGAAGATCAAATAGGTTCCTGGCAAACCTAGCAGACAACTTTGTCTCCCAAAAAGTAGAGAAGGGAACTAGGGGATTAGCCATTTTGGATCTAATTCTCACTAACAGAGATGAAATGATAGAAGGTATTGAAGCCATAGGAACCCTGGGAGGAAGTGATCATGCAATATTGGAATTCAACTTTATGGAAGCACAAGCAATAGAACACAGTCAAACTAGAGTCTTGGGCTTCAAGAGAGCTAATTTCAATAAACTTAGAGAGGGCTTGGGAAGGATTCCATGGATGAGAATCCTCAATGGGAAAACAACTGAAGAAGCTTGGGAAATTTTGAAAAATGAGATAATAAAAGCCCAGTCTAGCACAATACCAACAAAGAGGAAAAATAACAGCTCTCAAAAGAAACCAGCATGGCTGCATAAAGAACTCTCTGACAAATTGAAAGATAAAAAGGACAAGTATAGAAAGTGAAAAGAGGGGCACATAACTAAGTCAGAATATCAGCAAATAGCCTGAGCCTCCAAAGATGAAGTGAGGAAAGCCAAGGCTCAAAATGAACTAAGGCTTGCGACCAAAGTCAAAAATAACAAAAAAGCTTCTTTCAACATGTAAAAAACAAGAAAAAAGTGAAGGAAATGATTGGTCCATTAGTGGGTGAAAGTGGCAAGAAGGCGACAAGCAACAGGGAGAAAGCAGAACTATTTAATTCATTTTTTTGTATCTGTCTTTACACAAAGGGAAAAAACAGACCAATCTATCAAAAATAGTGCCATAAAAAACAGATTAGAAACACAAGTTAAGATAGGCAAGAAAATGGTAAGTGAGCACCTGTCCAGCCTAGACGAGTTCAAATCACCAGGACCAGATGGATTACACCCCAAGGTTCTCAAGGAACTGGTAGATGTGATCTCAGAACCACTGAACTAGATTTTTCAAAGAACCTGGAGCACAGGGGAACTACCAGAGGACTGGAAAAGAACTGATGTGGTTCCCATCTACAAAAAAGGAAAACAAATGAACCCAGGAAATTACAGACCTATCACCCTGACCTCAATACCTGGGAAGATCCTGGAAAAGATAATCAAACAACGAATCAGCGAACACCTAGAGGCAAACAAAGCCAACATGGTTTGTCAAAAACAGAACATGCCAGACAAATCTTATTGCATTCTTTGACCAAGTGACAACATTAATGGATCAGAGGAATGCTGTGGACATAATTTACTTGGACTTCAGTAAGGCATTTGATAAAGTAGATCACAACCTACTACTTGACAAGATAGAAAAATATGGGGTAGACAGCATCACCACCAGATGGATCCCTAGCTGGCTGACTGGCTGTACTCAGCGTGTGGTCCTCAATGGAACTGCCTCTACATGGAGGGAAGTGTGTAGTGGGATGCCCTAGGGCTCTGTTCTGGGCCTAGGGCTCTTCAACATCTTTATCAACAATTTGGAGGAGGGGATAGATGGGGAACTCATCAAATTTGCAGACGACACCAAGCTGGCAGGAACAGCCAACACTCCAGAAGATAGGCTTAAGATACAGAAGGAAATGGACAGATTTGAACACTGGTCGCTATCTAACAAAATGAAATTCAATGATGAAAAAAGCAAGGTTCTAGATTTAGGCAAGAAAAATCAAATGCACAGATACAGTATAGGGGGTACCTTGCTCAATAGTAGTAACTGTGAGAGGGAGCTCGGAGTCCTAGTGGATAATCACCTAAATATGAGCCAGCAGTGTGCTGCAGCTGCCAAAAAGGCCAACACAGTGCTAGGCTGCATTAACAGAGGGATAGAATCAAGATCACGCGAAGTGTTAATACCACTTTACAATGCCTTGGTAAGGCCACACTTGGAATACTGCATCCAGTTTTGGTCACCGCGATGTAAAAAAGATGTTGAGACTCTAGAAAGAGTACAGAGAAGAGCAACAAAGATGATTAGGGGACTGGAGGCTAAAGCATATAAGGAATGGTTGCTGGAATTGGGATGTCTAGTTTAATGAAGAGAAGGACGAGGGGGGACATGATAGCAGTGTTCCAATATCTCAGGGGCTGCCACAAAGAAGAGGGTGTCAAGCTATTTTCCAAGGTGCCTGAAGGCAGGACAAGAAGCAACGGGTGGAAACTAATCAAGGAGCGAAGCAACCTAGAACTAAGGAGAAACTTCCTGACAGTTAGAACAATTAACCAGTGGAACAACCTGCCTCCAGAAGCGGTGAATGCTCCAACACTGGAGGTTTTTAAGAAGAGACTGGACAGCCATTTGTCTGAAATGGTATAGGGTTTCTTGCCTGAGCAGGGGGTTGGACTAGATGACCTCCAAGGTCCCTTCCAACTTTATTATTATTATTATTATCCAATGACAAGTTTAGATTATAAATTGTAACTTGCTTTTGGACCATTTGACAGTAATAAAATGGGTTGATCTCTTCCATTACTCTATTCTTAACAAAACTGACAAGCTTCATATTCAAAGATAAATTATTTGGGGGGAGGTAGAAGATATTTTTCTTTTTGATTAATACAGTAATTTGTGTTTAGTTACAGAGAAATTCTGTTGTAAATCAAGAGGCACTATATGTAGTCCTCGACTTACAACAGTTCATTTGGTGACCCTTGGAAGTTACAACGGCACTGAAAAAAAGTGACTTATGACTGTTTTTCACACTTACGACCATTGCAGCATTCCCCATTGTCACATGATTAAAATTCAGATGCTTAACAACTGGTTCATATTTATGACGGTCACAGTGTCCCAGGTCATGTGACTAGCTTTTGTGATCTTCTGAAAAGCAAAGTCAATGGGGAAGCCAGATTCACTTCAAAACCATGTTGCTAACATAACAAATGCAAAGATTCACTTAACAACTGTGGCAAGAAAAGTTATGAAATGGGGCAAAATGTGCTTAACAAATGTTTCATTTAACAACATAAATGTTGGGCTCAATTGCAGTCATACCTCAAAGACTACCTGTATGTATGAGCACTAATAATTTCTTTGGAAGTGGTGAGAGAAGAAATGAAACTGTAGACAAAATGAAAATATAGAGGCAGTTACTACAAGGATAAAGATAAGGCTAAGGAAAAAAAGCATGAGAACTGAATTAAAGATGCAGAATTCTTCAGGAACTAAATGCTTTTGGAAAGCCAACAAGCTTGGAACAAAGTAGCAATGGTTGTATAAAATTTGCCCCAGAAACTATTGAAAAAACACAATGCTTTTGAAAGTGTGTTTTCCATGATCATGGCTAATATATGCCATGAAAGTGATAGAAGTGTTTAATCATTTTTAAAAAGCCATCAATTCCAGAGCTTTCACAGGAAGTGGACTGTATAATTTAATAAAATATTAAGGCAGAATTTTGACAGGAAACTAGAATGTAATGTGCCACCTGTTGCTTATTTGGTCCAAAATTTTACAAGAGGTACCTTCTCCTTTGTGTATTGTTACTTTGTTCATCCTTCCAGAACATCTTGTCTTCTCTACCCTCCCTCCCTATTTTCATGCATAAGCATGGTTCATCAATAAGTCTCAGAATAAGCATTATACAAAAAACAGGCTATAAAAATATTCATAAATTTATGTAACATGTAAAAAAACTGGCAAATTTAGAAAGAGCACAGATGGTCTTCCATCAGGAGAATTCTATACATTCAAATATTTGGAAAAGCATGGTAAAAGAAATAAATGTGACGGTCTATCATGAAACCTTTAACCTTAAATCAGAGGATCAGACTAGCGACTCCCGTTTCCTATCCGAACGTATAAACGAGTAACATCTTTCATGCTGGTGCATAATTCCATTGCGTTCTCCTCAACCCCCAGTACACACGTGTGAGAAAGAAACCTAAAGCCTTGGTAAGCTTTTTCTCGTCCCCTCCCTCCCTCCCTCCCTTTAAAAATAACTTTTGGAAACGCCACGGCTAAGATGTACAATTCAGTTCAGAAACCAAATGATTTATGACACATCTTTTTCCTTCGGCAAGGTTGATGCTAGCCTCAGTTCATCACAAGGCAATTATAATAATATCCGCGTTTTAAAACCGATTTAATCTCGCCTCTTACCTTCCCCCCCCCCACCCGCACCGGCTGGTCGTCCACGCCCCTTCCCCCAGCCTTCTGGAGAAGGCGGAGCCCCAGCGCATCCTCGCTCTCCCCGCGGAAGAGGCTGCTCTTCGCGGGCTAAGTCTGGCGGTAGATCTGCTGCAAGCAGGAGGAGTACTGTAGTCCCGTCGGCCGGGGGGGGGGCTAAGTTGAGTATTCCCCGTTGAGTATTCCCTCCACTGTTAGCGAAGGGCGCTGAGGGGTAGCCAGGGAAGCAACTGCGGAGCTCAGCGCCGCCTCCTTTTTCTTCCTCTCTTCTTCCTCCCGCCTTTCCTCTTCCTCGCCTGGATCTGCGGAGATGAGCAGCGCTAGAGACCGACGCCTACCTCGGCAAAGCTGGTGGGAGAGGAGGCGATCTGGTTCCGGGCTTCCCTGAGGTGCCACGAGGATTCCGCCCGCCGGCATCCGTCTGAAGTGAGTGGAGCGGCCGTCCCTTCGGCCAAGCGCTCCCGCCCTCTGGATGCTACCGCTGCTGCTGGTCCACGGCTGCCCCCCCTGCGAGGGCGCGGGAGGCGGGGAGCTCGCATGGCGGCGGCGCAACGGCGGCGGCGGGCTTCGAGGGGGCGGCCCAGACAGCGTCCGAGGTTGCCGGGTCTGCGGGTGGTACGCTGGCGGCGGGCAGCCCCGTGGCGGCGGGCGCTGTGGCTTCTGGCCCTGGGAACCTCGCTGGGTCTGCTCCTGGCGTGGTCGTCTAATCGGCTTCTGCATTGGCTGGCCTTCCCGTCTCACACGACGGTGCGCACCGAATGGAGCCGTCAGCTGGCCTTCCCCGCCGTCACATTGTGCAACAATAATCCGCTCCGTTTCCCGCGCCTCTCCAAAGGCGACCTCTACTACGCCGGCAACTGGCTCGGCCTTCTTCTGCCCAACCGGACGGTGCGGCCTCTGCTTGCTGAGCTCCTGCGCGCCGAACCGGAGCGCCTGCGTTGGTTCGCCAAGTTGGCCGACTTCCGGCTCTTCTTGCCACCGCGCCACTTCGGTGGCATCAGCGAAGAGTTTGTCGATCGTCTCGGGCACCGCCTCGATGACATGCTCCTCTCCTGCAAGTTCCGAGGCGAAATGTGCGGTCCGCATAACTTCTCCGCTGTGAGTAGAGGAAAGGAAGGATGGGCCGAATGGGGTGGCTCCACGGGGGCGGCGCCGTGGGAAAACCTGCGGAGCGGTCCGTCAAGCCGAAATCCCGGGTGTAGATTTTGTTCGCCGCCCGCGCGGAGCCCCAGTAGCGATGGAAGAGAGGCTGTACCGTTTCGCGTAGTGTTTGCATGAGCACAGCCGCTTTCTGTGGATAAGGTTCTGTCTAAAATCGTGCATTTGGAAGTGTTAATAGTTTATTATGTTACTATTATCTATTTGGTCATAGTAGGCAGGGATATCCCTTCATTTGATCCTTCAACAAGGTCTGAGCTAGTTTGGGCTGAGAGAATAGCCTAAAATGACCCAGCTAATGAATTTAAAAAAGAAACTCTCCAGTGCTGCTTTTGACATTTTAACCACTAATGGGACCAGCTTTCTTTTTTACTTTTATTTTTAACTGAAACAAGATAAACAAGGTTTATATGGGCCTTCCATCAGTGGGAAATAAGGCTATACCTGTTGAATTTCTGCATGTCCTATAGTTAGTAAAAGTGGCTTATGTAGAAAGAAGTTTGATGTTGAGCAATGATATTTATGCTTTTATTCTTTCAATAAAGAAATATTTTCTTCCAAATATTTTTTAAACAGTTGTGTGAAAAGCACTTTATTAGGCAAAGATTTTTCACCTCTCTGATTACACATCCTGAAAGTAATGCTTATGGAATTATTTTCCTTTTATGGTTCTGTTTAGAGATACAAATACAGTTTTTCACATAGTGAAATGGAATATAGTAGAAAGAAGAATCTAATCTATTCTAACCTAAATCTTAACCTATTTTTTAATAATTTTTGGGAAGGTAGGGATGTGTAGAGACTTGAGAGACATGTGTGCTATTCTGGGTAGCTAGAAAAATTGTGGTGCTGATGAAATACCTGGCAAAGGAACAGGATTTGTGAAGTGAATATAATTTATAAATGTATTGAAGAGAACTTTTACTTTTCCTGACCCTTCAGACTCCAAAAAGGAAAAGTAATGTTTTCTCTCCTTTAATTTTTTTGGAGCTGACTAAAGTATGTTAAAAAAGCAAGACTGATTTCTGTTTCTCTCTGTATGAGGAGTACTTGACATTTTATAAACAAAATTATGAGAAGGAAGCTGTGCAAATTTGCATTATGGCAAGGGAAAGGAACAAAAGATAGAAGATAACTTCCCTTCTCAGGACAGAGTAATGGCTGGTACAAATGCCTTCCTTAACAAGGCACTGGAGAGAAATTTGAAACCAATTTCAGAATAGTGCTTGTGCTGTTTACAAATAAGTCTGGATGGATTCATTCTGGGTTCTGACCCCAAGCAAAAGTGTTACAAGTATGGTGACTTGGCAATAATAAAAATAAACTCTTATAATGGACTATTTTTGGATAATCATGATATTAGTGATTAAAGATCTGTATTTTTAAAATGATGCTATCAACAATGGATAGTGTCTCAAGAAGTGGCCTGATAACCTTCAAATTTAAAACAATTGTAATTTTGTGTATAGTGCTAAATAAGTAAGCCAAACAGAAGGCATGTGAGTAAGAAAGCCCAACATTAAGCCTAACATTCAAGCTGTTAATCTGAGAAATCCTATGTTCTCTGCAGTAATACGAATAGAAGGCTTCAAGCCAGGGAGACCTACCAAAAGTACTTCGCTGTAGGTAGTCCTTGAGTTATAACTATAATGAGCCTACCCATCATGGTTGTAACTTATGATAGTCTAAAAGTGGGTAAATCATGGGACTGAGCCACGTTTATGACCTTTTTGTGATGGTTGTTAAGCATGGTTTTGCCAAAAACCAGAAGTTGATGCTGGTTTTCAGTAAAACTGTATTAGAGTATGAATATGAATACTACTCAATATTTCTTTGCTTTATCACACGTCCAGCATAAATGGTAAAATTTACATTTTTCATTTCTAATATTCACCTAAAATACCTTTATATATTTTAGATAGCTTGTCTGGTGTTAAAACATAATCATGTAACTGCAATGCTGCAAAATGTGGCCTGGTTGCTGAGTGTCGGAACCACAGCCATATGATTGTGGGGATAGGAGCCCAACCATTGGAATTTTGCATCCTACAGTCATAACTATCCCCACCAGGTAGGTCTGTCAGAACGTTGAGTGATCACAAATTGAGGACTACCTATATTAAATCAAAAACATTCATTTTATCAAATTCCATTTTCTGGGTAAGGATTGAGACTAATCTATTTTGTTATCTTTCACAACAGAAATTCACGGGGCTGCCTTCAGAGAGCATTCAGAAGCTTCAACTGATGCAAAATATAGCTGCATGGGCAGTTATGTGTTTCTTTAGAGGACACATGACATGTTCTGTGAGCAGTGTTGGTTACCAGTTTGCTTCGGGGTCCAATTTAAGGTGTTGGTTTTGACCTTTAAAACCCTAAATAGCACAGGAGGTAATCTGAGGGACTGCCACTCCTTGATTACATCTGCATGTCCCATCAGATCCAGCAGAGAGGCATGCTATGGGTCCCATCTGCCAAGGAATTCCATATGGTGGGACTTAGGAGACAAGCCTTTGCTGCCTCGGTACCCACTCTTCGGTATATCATTGCCAAATCCTTATGGCCTTTGGGAATGCTCTTAAAACAGGAGTCTACAATCCTCGATCTGTGGACCGGCAGCGGTCTGCATCATCCAGAAACCGGTCTGCGCAAACAAGCAAAGCAGGCAGTATATGAAAACACGCCCCTCTGGTCCATAGAAAAACCTCTCGCCATGGAACCGGTCCCTGGTGCCCAAAAGGTTGGGGACCTCTGTCTTAAAACGTGGTGAGGGGTTTTTTTTCCACCAGGCTTGAGCATCCCCTGACAGCAAGGAACCCATGCAGTAGCTATATCGCATTAAACTATTTATGATTTTAATTCTCTCATGACCCTTGTTTTATTAATTATTTTAATAAATTATTGGTAAATAATTTATTTAATAAATTATTGGTTTCATTGTATGCTGCCCAGCTTGTGTGAGACGGGCAGCCATAAAAATTTGATAATTAAATTTATTCTGAAGAAAATTATAATTCCTGATCTTCCATTAAAACAATATAAAGACTTTAAAGAGGTCACATCTGTTCATGTGAAAGTGAGCAGAAGAAAGCATTTTGCTGTCAATGTATGTTCTTTCAAAACTTTTTCATGAGAAAGAAAAGTTAAGAATTACTTACAGTATATAATTTTTCACATGATATCACTGAAAGAGCATTTCTTTTTTAAAATGGAGGAAATGTGAACTGAGGAACAGAAATTCTGAGGGTGAAAGGTGCACATTCAACATTTCCTAGTCCCTCCTTTTAACCTGTATTTTTTATGTGAAAGAAGAAAGGGTAATGTACCTGGAAATGATAATTGTATTTAATTGATCTAATTTTTAATAAACTTGATTTATAAAAAGCTGGTCCCTTTTATTCTTAATCTGCTCAGTTTTAGTGTGGAGCTCCCATGTGACACTTGGGTACAATTCTTGGTCCCAAAAATTAGGCATCTGTGGCATTGAATAAAACACTCTTACTATTGTTAGTGTTAGATCATAACTTCCATGTGTAGCAGGTCATAGGCACTCATAGAAACATGTGATAAACATCTATTCCCTGAAGAGGGAATTAAGCTATTTTTCAAAGCACCTGAAGGCAGGACAAGAAGCAATGTGTGGAAACTAATCAAGGAGAGAAGCAACCTAGAACTAAGGAGAAACTTCCTGACAGTGAGAACAATTAATCAGTGGAACAGCTTGCCTCCAGAAGCAGTAAATGCTCCAACACTGGAAGTTTTTAAAAGAGACTGGACAGCCATTTGTCCGAAATGGTGTAGGGTTTCCTGCCCGAGCAGGGGGTTGGACTAGATGACCTCCAAGGTCCCTTCCAACTTTACTACTACTACTATTATTACAAGTATGATTTGCAGTGTTTGTGTGTATGTAAGTTTGTATTTAACGGCAGGAGTGAATCAAATTCACGGTAGGGATCCAGATTCCATTTAAGGACTTGTAGCACATTAGCTAGATTTGAAAAGTAATGCAAAAGGTGATACAAGAAATCAAGGATATGACATGATTTTATGACAGAAAGGTAATTGGAGGTCTCCCCCCCCCAAAATTGGAAAACTGTTGACACTAATAGAGAATTAAAGGGTTTTAAAAGTATAATTAGAAAAACCGGAAAGTAAGAAATAGCTATTGATAGTTACATCAAGCATTATACAGCTGGAAAGCTGCAAAGTTTGGCAGGGTAGTAGAAATGTTCTCAGTTCCCAACACATAAGCAGTCCTCAATTTATGACTGGTTGTTTTACAACTTGATGTCAGAGTTACAATGGTTTCTAAATCTGGGCACTGTAAAATGCTCTGCCTTCCCCACAGTCACCTGTGACTGCATTTCAGGCACTTGCCTTTACGATCAGTTGCAATGTCCCATGATTCCGATTTGGGATGGGGGTGGGGGGTGCTTGTTTTTCCAGTTTCCAGCAAAAAGTGTCTTTGTTTAATGATGGCACCATTCACTTAATGACTTATGTGATTCAGTTAACAACTGCCACAAAAAAATGTCAAAAAATCAAGTCCAGTCTTGACTTACAACTGCAATGACTTATGATCAGATTTCTGGTCCGGTTGTGGTTGTATGTTGTATCTAGCAAGAGGATTTGTTGTACCGATTTCATGGATGAAGATCACTAAGACTTCAGGAGCAGATCACTGCTCTTTCATTCCAGAGAAAGCTTATCGTTAAGCCATTCTTTGATTTTCTACTGCTTATTACAACTCCTGCAGTTACATAATTTGCCAGCATTCTGTCTTGATAATCTGGTTGAACATATGTTAAAATTAAATTTGTTTCTATTGAAACTTTTTTTAAAAGTTAAAAATTAATCCAAACCTAATGTAAAGGAAAAAAGGAAGAAAGCAAAGGGCATACAATGAGCAATAAAAAAGAAAAGGTTTAAGAAAAATAGAAAAAAATTAAAAATATTTAAAAACTGGTTTCCAAAATGTTTCTGTTCTCATCCAATCAGCTGATGAGAAGCAAAATGTTTTCCAAGAAAACACCAAGAAAGTCCAATTGTTTTTTGTAAAAAAATACATTTGGGGCTTAAGTGGTACACCCAACTGGTTTCTTTCAGACTTCTGGATACTCAAGAACTGTAGAAGCAATTGGAAACTCTATGTATTCAAACAATTTCTTAAGAACTAGCACTGTGCAAGGTATTTCAGTTTCAGGAAAGTTTATATAATTTTTTTCTAGACTTATTTTATTACAGTACATTTCTGGACAATATTCAGATCATAAATAAGAGTAGTTTAAAGAATATCAGAAGCCATCACATATAAAAACAATTATTATGTTGATGTTTGTGAATCGGACATTGTGCCACTTTGATTTACTCCAGTGCCAGAGTTCTTTGGAAGAATCAAAATCAGTTGGAAGAATCAGCTCCAGTGCCAGAGCTCTTTGGAAGAATCAGATATACCACAAAATATATTTATTATATCCTGAGCCTTGCAAGCAGGCTCGGGGCATTGCAGGCGATCCCGGGCAGGTGCAAGCTGCCTGGGACCAGACAGGCTGTCGCCAGTACGTGTGCGCATGCGCGGGTGCTGGCGCGCCAAAAGTAGCAGATTGACCCGAGAAAGGCCTATAAAAGGAGGCCGAGAGTTTTGGGCGTTGCCACCATATTCCAATGTAAGCTGAACTGAAGAATAAAGGTTTCCTGAGAACTACAACTGCTTCTCGTGTCTTACCATTTCGCGACGGACTCAACACTGGCGACGAAGGTGGGATTGCCTTACATTGAAGAAGAAAAGGTGTAAGCTTACCCGAGTGAGTCTGGAGCGGCAGGAACGGCGTTGACTCGGCAGCTACCCACCAATCCAGTGTGCATTCGGGGGTAGGCTGGCTGATAGACCCTTCCTGATATGAAATGGCAAAGATTGGAAGGCTTTCAGAATTCGACGTCTCACATCCAGAGAGGTGGGAGTCCTATGTAGCCAGGGTGGAAAACTACCTCAGAGTAAACCAGGTGAGGGAAGAGAGCTTGAAGGCTGCCACCCTGCTGTGCGTTTGCGGTCAAGACGCATTCGAAATTGCTGAGAACCTCGCAGCACCTGTTCCTTTAGAGTCTGTCAGCTACGCAGATCTAAAGAAGTTACTGACGGAGCACTTCCAGCCTAAGATGTCCGTCATCGCGTGGCGCCACACCTTCGAACAGAGGGATCAACGACCCGGAGAATCGGCCAAGGAGTACATCGCCGCACTGAGGAAAGCCGCCAAACATTGCGAGTTCAAGGACCTCGAGGAACGACTGAGGGACCGGTTTGTATGCGGGCTAAGGCATCGAGAGTTGCAACAGAGACTTTTCGCCAAGGAGGACTTGTCTTTCCAAGATGCCTTGAGAGAGGTCACCGCAGAAGAAGCAGCGGGCGGCGCCATCAAGAATATGCGGCCAATCAGAAACAGTCCAGATGCTGCGTCCGTGCACCAGGAAGAAGTCCAAAGAAACTCCGAGGAGGATCCGGACGAGGAAGTGGACCTCCACCCCACAAAGGAAGGAAAACCAAGAGGAAGCTCTTCAGCTCTCCCCAAGTGCATCAGTTGTGGAGGTCGCCACAAGAGAGCCGACTGCAAATTCCGCTCCGCTATCTGCCGGGCGTGCGGAAAACAAGGACACATTGCAGCTGTGTGCCTGTGCCGTCAGAAGGTACAACCTCAGGAAGAATTGCGCCTGTAAAGTACCAGGGTCCCCAGCCAGAATAGGGTGGGGTTTTGCGCTTCGCGAAGGAGCATCTACAGGACAGGCACACACAAGCCCATTAAGAAAAAGCTGTCACTTAAGGTGAAGCTACAAGGGGTTCCATTAACTATGGAACTGGACACGGGGTCTGCACTTTCGATCATTTCTATGCACACATTTAGGAAGATTTGCTCCGGCAGCGGAACCCAGGCCAAGTTGAGGCCTTCTGACATTGTGCTAATGGATTTTCAAAACTCCAGAGTGTGTGTTAAGGGGGAGGCCACCCTTAACGTACAGTATAAGGATTTTGAGGGTCCACTAGACCTACTAGTAGTAGAGGGTGAACGAACGAGTCTCATAGGACTCGAGTGGTTTGAGGCCTTGGGGATACACGTCATAGGGCTCAACAGCCTACAAACACTCGACCTACAGGAAGTCTGCAAAGAATTTGCAGATGTTTTCAGCCCCCAGCTGGGCACATTCAAAGGACCCCCTGTGTCGTTAAAGCTAGACCCCACGGTCACTCCCATTAGAATTAATGCAAGAAGGGTCCCTTTTGCTTTAAAGAGTAAAATTGACACTGAATTGGATAAACTGATCCAACAAGGAATTCTAGAACCAGTTGACTCCAGTCCATGGGAGACCCCCATTGTCACGCCTCTTAAGGCAAATGGGGACATTCGCATCTGTGCTGATTACAAATGCACTCTAAATAAGGCATTGCAGCAACATGCCTATCCTGTTCCTGTGGTCAGTCATATCCTGGCCTCCCTCAAGGGGGGGCGCGTTTTTGCAAAGCTTGACCTAGCTCAAGCATATCAACAGCTGCCTGTTGATGATGACGCTGCTATAGCTCAGACTATTGTGACCCACAGAGGGGCTTTCAAGGTAAAGAGACTTCAATTTGGAGTAAATGTCACTCCTGGGATTTTCCAAAGTGTAATGGAAAACACACTACGGGGTATACCAGGGGTTTGCCCCTATTTTGATGATGTCTTAATTGCAGGAGACTCCACACACATTCTAGCTGAAAAGCTAAGGGCTGTCCTATTAAGGTTCAGGAAAACGGGACTCAAACTCAAGAAGGACAAATGTAAAATTGGGGTGCCTTCTACTGAGTTTCTGGGGTTCAAAATTGATGCTGCTGGGATTCATCCTGCTGAATCCAAACTAAAAGCCATTATGCAAGCCCCTAGGCCAAAGTCTAAGGCCGAACTACAGGCTTTTCTGGGCCTTCTGAATTTCTACAATTCCTTTCTTCCACACAAGGCTTGTGTAGCTGAGCCTCTTCACAGGCTATTAGATAAACAGGCAGTGTGGCATTGGTCATAAACACATGAGGCTAGTTTCAATGAGGTCAAGGTCTTGCTCACTTCTAAAGTATACTTGCTCATTTCAATGAGTCCCTTCCTGTGTGCATCGCTTGTGATGCTTCCCCTTATGGGGTGGGTGCTGTACTGAGCCACCTCAGGGCTGATGGAACTCAGGTTCCTGTTGCATATTACTCCAGGACATTGTCTTCAGCTGAGCGCAACTATGCTCAAATAGACAGGGAGGCCTTAGCTGTTGTTGCTGGAATTAAAAAATTCCATGATTTTTTATATGGTAGGCATTTCACAGTCTTCACTGACCATAAGCCTTTGTTGGGACTGTTTACCACACGTAAACAAACTCCCCAAATCATCTCCCCCAGGATGCTCAGGTGGTCTATCTTTTTGTCTGCATATGATTTTTCCCTACTTCACAAGCCTGGGAAGGAAATGGGCCATGCTGATGGCCTCAGTAGATTACCCCTG